AACAGGCGAGACAGGACGCGACGCAAGCTCACGACGCTCTGCAAGGCCTCCTGGCTGCTCAGTGTAAGGAGAGGGAGCAGGCAGTGGTGAGCCAGGCTGTAACGGAAGACCAGTAGACGATGGGAGGCTAAGAACCTGGCGAAGCACGGAGTCAGGCGGTGGCAGAGATGACGGAGATGGCGGAGCAAAGAACAGTCGCGGCTGCGCAGTGCCACCAGTAGAGCAGCTCCCGCACCACCAGCAGCTCCAGCACCTCCAGTTGCTCCATAACCTCCAGCTCCAGCTCCTCGAGCGCCAGCATCACCAGTACCAGCGTTACCAACAGCTCCAGAACCCCAAGCGCCACAACCTCCAGTACCAGCGTCACTAGCAGCCCCATAACCTCCAGCGCCAGCACCTCCACTACCAGCGTCACCAGCAGCTCCAGGACCTCCAGCGCCAGCACCTTCCGTACCAGCGTCACTAGTAGCAACACCCCCTGAACCGGCACCTCCAGCCCTAGGGTCTCCAGCCTCAGCGTCTCCAGCAGCGGCACCCCCAGAATCAGTACCGCCAGCCCCAGCATCTCCAGTACCTCCAGTACGAGCACCTCCGAAACCAGCGACTCCACCACCTCCTGTAGACAAAGTACCAGCACCACTCCCAGCTGCAGAGCCTCAAGCTCTAGCCGCACGACCCTGACGGCCAGCGTACCACTCGTGCAGCTGCTAAGGGGAGAGAGGCGTTCGCGGACGAAGGCGGCCTCTCCAAGAAGACCGCACACCAGCAGTCTCACTACCCTCAGGCGCCGCACCCCCAGACTGAGCACCCCCTGACTCCTCACGCTCAGGCGCAGCACCTCTAGATGCAGCACCCCCACGCGTAGTACCTCCAGCCTCCTCACGCTCAGGCTTGGCATCTCCACGCTCCTCACGCTCAGGCTCAGCACCCCCACGCTCCGTACCCCCAGGCTCAGCACCCCTAGAGACAGAACCCCGATCAGGACCACCCCCAGCAGGACTTCAGTCACCAGTGACCTCAATAGGCGCAGGCACGGGAGGGTCTACTTGAGAGACACCTGAAGGAGCAGGACCTGGCGTAGGGAGGGGGTCTACCTGGGGAGGACTCGGAGCGAGAAAGAGCAGCGGGGGGAGGCGAGGGGTAGTGCGGTAAGGAAAGAGACGGTAAAAGGGAACTCACTTGTCAAAGGTGACGTCCTGAGACGGAAAGACACGGCGCGAGGCGGGGTCGTAAAACTGCCAGCCAGGCGCCTCAGGGACAAAGCCAAGGAAGACGCACGAGGGGAGAGCTTGTCCGCAGTGGTATCGCGGACCAAGGCACGAGCACCCCGGACTCGGAAACGCGACGCATCGCCAACCTCCCCCGTCCAGCACAGTGTGGGCGAAGTCTTCGGCACGGAAACACGGGGCTAGAGGTTGAGCTGATGCGCAGCGTACCGGACCGCAAACGGCCATAGAAAATGAGGGGCAGCCGCATGGATCATGGAGGTACGAGCGACCTCCATGACTAAGCCAATGCGGCGCTCAGCAACCCCATTCTGCTGCGGAGAGGCCGGAAGTGTGAACGTTTGGCGGATGCTGTGCTCCTCACAGTAGGCTCGCAAGAAGCCGGAGGAGAACCCACCACCTTTGTCAGAGTGCAGACGCAGGACAGGAAAGCCCGACTGGAACGGCTTGCGGAGCTGGAGACGAACAACTTGGATCCAGGGGATCAAAACATCAGGGACCTCCCCCTTGCGCTGCAAGGGGAAGACCGTGGTGTAGTCGTCGACTACCAGCAGGAAGTACCGCTCGTGGCCCTGTCCACGAACGCGGGCTGGGCCCCACACGTCCAAGTGGAGAGTCTGAAGTGGAGCCTCTGTGGGAGGGAATGAGGAGTGAGGAGTGGCGCGCTGCCGCCCCTCCACGCAAGGAATGCAGGGCAGCGCAGGCGAGGGAGGGAGGGAGGGCAGAGACCTAGGAAGACCAGAGACCAGGCGGCGAGAGTGCATGCCACGAAGGCGAGGCAGGCTGGGGTGACCAAGGCGGTGGTGCCACAAGAGAGTCTGGTGCGAGAGGCTGCGACACTCACACTGGGTAGCTACCTGAGCGGACGCGTACAGCTGAGGAGACAAAGGGGTGGAGCGCGACGCAGTGGTGGGGGTGTACAGACTGGACCCAGGCGCACGTGTGAACGTGGCCAGGTGGCGGCCGGTCCGGGAGCACGTGGAGATCACCACACGCTGTCCTCCAAAAGTGAAGGTGTCAACCCAATGATCCTGAAGGACGGCGTTGCTCACCAGGTTCGTAGATAACGAGGGGAGGTGGAGACGAGACAGCTCACCAGACGGGACCGCCGGACACGGAAGCACAGTGGTAGACTGTGCAAGCACTGGGCCCCCAGAGGGGTCAGCTAGTGAGACAGGGACAGTTGCAGGGAGGGGAGTGACTGTGGTGCTGTCGCGAAAGAAATAGTGGGAAGCACCTAAGTCAAGTGTAAAGTTGTGCAAGGCCTGTGCGGACGTAGTACCAGGAAGAGCAGACTCACGAGCACCTAGAGCTACAGGCGCTATACCTGGGGCTATACCGGGGTCAGGTGGCACACACAAGTAGCAGTCACCCTCAGCACTAACAGTCAATGCATACATGGCAGCAAGCATAGCATCATAGTCAAGATCAAAGATAGGTACATCACGCCTAAGCAGGTCTGCCCAGTTGGGGAACTCAGTAGCATCAGGAAACTTGATGCGCCACGCGTCGCTAAGCCAAGCGAAGCAGCGATACTCAGTGTGAAAGCCGGTGCACTAGCGACCAGCGCGGGGACCTGCGCGAATGGTATAGGGGCAGCGACCAGGACCCCCAGACGTCCCACGCCCGGCATACCAGGCAAGAAGCTGCTGGGAAGTGGGGGTCTAGCACTGACGCTGCTGCAGCTGCTGCTGCTGCTGCCCCTGGCCACCACTGGTCTCACCCAAGCCCCCACCACCGCCGTCACCACCACTTCTTCCTCCGCCACCACCGCCGCCGCCACCGCCACTGCTCGCGGCACCACCACCGCCCCCACCACCACCTCCACCCCCACGACCACCCCCACCACCTCCACCTCCCTCGCCGCCTCCACCACCGCCCCCTCCACCGCCACGTCCGCCACCCCTGCCTCCCCTGGAGCCGCTGCGCTTCCCACTAGGAGCGGAAGCAGCCGCAACCTTCTCAGCACCAAGGAGGTTGACAGCAGCAGCTGCGGAGGCGTAGGAGGGGGTAAGAGGGGAGGGGGAGCACCCCTCAAAGAGGGGAGTGCGAGGATTACCACAAGCAACACCTACAGCGAGGATGTTCTTCTCTGCTACTAGGAGGTGCTTCTCGAAGTCGGCGATAGTGAGAGTGGTAGGGTCTAGGGCTAGGAAGTGGTCCCTAACGGAGCTAAGAGTGTCAGGGAGGCAGGTGACGAGGAAATAGAGAGTGAAGTACATCGGGGGGGGGGGGGGTTCTCGACGCAGAACTCGGCTGGAAGGGCGGCACGAAAGCGAGTGTCACTAGCGCGAAGGTGAGAAATGAGGTCCTCAGCAGAAGTAAACGAGGACAGGTATGGGAACAGGTAGGGTAGCATGAGCCGTCCTAGGGCTGCAGTGGCCGGGGAGGAGTAGCGCGCAACTACAGCGTCATACAGTGGCATCAGTCAGAAGAAACAGTTGGAGATCGTCTAGCTATGTGGTAAACTCTATCGGGCGACCGTCAGGCTCAAACGCGAGAACATTAAGTGTCGTCATAATCGCAGTGCAGGCAAAGGCGGTAGGCAGCAAGCAGCAGGCAAAGGGCGCGAGCAGCAAGGGCAGAGGAAGGGCAGTACGAGGGCTGCTCGAGCAGTACGAGGGCTACTAAGGCAGCACGAGGGCTACTAAGGTAGCACGAGGGCTGTTAAGGCAGTGGGAGGGCTGTTAGGGCAGCATGAGGGCTGTTAAGGCAGTGGGAGGGCAGTACGAGCACTGCTTAAGGCAGTGGGAGGGCAGTACGAGCACTGCTTAAGGCAGTGGGAGGGCAGTGCGCGGGGCTGACGAGGCAGCGAGCGGGCTGTGCGGGCGTCGCACGGGGCTGACGAGGCAGCGGGCTGGCTGCGCGCTCGCGGGTCAGTACGCGCAGTGCGAGGGCTGAGAGGCAGCGCGCGGGGCAGTAGAAGGCAGCGCGAGGGCTGCGGAGCGGCGCGCGGGGCAGGAGAAGGCAGCGCGAGGGCTGCGGGGCGGCGCGCGGGCCTGACAAGGCAGCTAGCGAGCTACGCGCGGGGCTGACGAGGCAGCAGGCGGGCTGCTAGTGGGCTGCACGAGGGCCAGCAGAGGCGAGCGCGAGGGCTGCGCGACTCAGTGCAATGTAGGCAAGGGGCGGGGTAACGCGGTAACCGACGGAAAACAGTTGGTGGGCCCTGAAAAACAGTCCTAAAACGGTCTTGAGGACCTATCTTGCTCTTAATACCATGTCGAGAGTAAGGGAAGGAAAAGGTGGTTGCACTATCGAGAAAGTTGGGTACAAGTAACAAAACCTATACCCTACATTAGCTACCCCACTAAAGCCTACATTTTATTGTGGCATAGGCATATAGTTTGACAGGTAAGATATTCAAGAGCCTCATCAATATTGCAAAATAACACTACCATAAAATATTTGATCTAAAACCTGGCACTAAGCGGGACTGAATTTCGGGCAAGGCGCACTGACCTATTCATATGCCCTAACCCTAAGTAGTGCGGTAGAGGCCCTTATGAATGAAAACAGCCCACCATCAGCAACTACGAGATCACGCGAGGATCTTGCGGTGCCTTGCATACCAAACAAGGCCAACAAAGAGCAAAGTGGGCACCAATGTTCCGAGCACAACCACCTGCACAGAACAACTCCAATGGCAATGACGTACTGGCGAACGGAACTTGAGGATACACAGAAACCTAAATGAAAAGGTTGCAATGCAGAACATAAACAGTCGGTCCCTACAGAAAGAAAAGGACAGCAGATGCATGAAGGATTGAGACGGACCCAAACAAAGGCAGATGGATCTGTGTTCCACGCGTAGGGGATGTTCATTCCGAATATGCCGACGACGGTGGCGGAGATGGACGTGCCCATGATGCCCGCATTCAGCACCAGCTCCAGCTGCCACCCGTGATGCGGGGGGAGGGAGAGGGCAAAGAGGAGCACATGAGAGCCTCTTGGCTTACTGCAACAGCAATATAGACACCTCAATTCAGAGATCAGTGCAGAGCAATCTCAGGAGCACAAGAGGGCGAGAATGGGAGAGAGGTAGAGAATGAGAGCTGAGGTAGAGAATGAGAGCTGAGGTAGACAATGAGGGCTGAGGTAGAGAATGAGAGCTGAGGTACAGAAAGAGAGCTGAGGTAGAGAATGAGAGCTGAGGTAGAGAATGAGAGCTGAGGTAGAGAATAAGAGCTGAGGTAGAGAATGAGAGCTGAGGTAGAGAATGAGAGCTGAGGTAGAGAATGAGAGCTGAGGTAGAGAATGAGAGCTGAGGTAGAGAATGAGAGCTGAGGTAGAGAATGAGAGCTGAGGTAGAGAATGAGAGCTGAGGTAGAGAATGAGAGCTGAGGTAGAGAATGAGAGCTGACGTAGAGAATGAGAGCTGAGGTAGAGAATGAGAGCTGAGGTAGAGAATGAGAGCTGACGTAGAGAATGAGAGCTGAGGTAGAGAATGAGAGCTGAGAATTGCGAAAGAGCAAGAGATTGAGAGAGAGAGCAGAATATTGGGAGAGAGAAAGCGAGAGAGAGATAGAGGTTAGGGCATTAAGCATGAGGGCTATGCTCCTGAGCTCATAAGATCTGGCCGACCACTCCAGCACGTGCTCTCCCTGCACATCCATGCCCACCGCCATGCTTAGCTCAATTGCTGGAAGCTTCCTGCCATCCTCTAACCCAAACTCCAGCCACACCCACCCACTGCTTTCCCTTTTCGCCTAGGAATCGGACAATGGCTCCTAGCAGTCCCATTCAAACCGTTGCTCCACTCCGCCCACCACATTTCGCTACCACCTTGCAGTTTCGGCTGGGAATACATTTGTGTTCACCATAGTTGTGCAACTGGCGTAACATGGCGGCGGTGGTGGATGTGTGACGTCAGTAACTGGCAGCCAAAGGCCGACACTGGGCAGCAAGGCAAGCAGCAGCAAAGAAGATCGACCACTACAGAAGCCGTGCTGCCTATGTTGGTCCCACTGGCCGTAGAACCATCTGGCTACCCCTAAACCATGTTCTCAAACTTTCGGCCAGCACAGGCCCGAAGACTCTTCAATTCAGGCCCCTTGGTTTCACCAGCAGCCCGAGCATCAGCGGCAGCCCGAGCACGCTTCTGAGTTCACTCCTTGTTCCAACATCCTAAATATGGCACTTTTAACAGACCTTGTGCGCAGCAAAGAAGAATACCCACGGGATGCACAAACACAGCACCCCTCAGGTGGGCAGCTCGTCACAGGATGACCCTTGATGCGCCCTTGCTCATGGCACATGGCAAGGAGGCGTGCATGGCATGGTGTGAGTGAGTTGGCGGGGCTGTCTCACCTGGATGAGCTGATTGCGGTGATTGTCAATCTGCACGCCATGCACACACACGGCAGGTGAGACCGAGATTCGGGAGATGAGGGGGGAGGAGAGGAGTGCGGCGGTGAGGGGAGACGCGAGGAGTGGGGTATGCAGGAGAGGAAACGATAAAGAGAGGGGTATGGAGGCAAAATGCACCGCAGTAACTATAGCGGTGATTAGAAGCCCTTTCTAATTCCATTGCTGCAAACGATACTAGAAGAAGAAAGAATATGTAGAAGCAGTGTGAGGTGGAGTGGGCAGCGGCACCTGGATGTTGATGTAGTCCTCGGTGTCGTCGATGTACTCCCTCAGCTGTCGCCGTTCCCCAGGGGACGAGAGCGAGTGGGGCAGGGCGGGAGGAAAGGAGGGAGGGAGGGAGGGAGGTAGGGAGGGAGGGAGCGAGGGAGGGAGGGAGGGAGGGAGGGAAGGAGGGAGGGAGGGAGGGAGGGAGGGAGGGAGGGAGGGAGGGAGGGAGGGAGGGAGGGAGGGAGGGAGGGGAGGGAGGGAGGGATGGAGGGAGGTAGGGAGGGAGGAAAGGAGGGAGGGAGGGAGGAAAGGAGGGAGGGGGGGAGGGAGGCAAGGAGGGAGGAAGGGAGGCAAGGAGGGAGGGAGGGAGGGAGGGAGGGAGGGAGGGAGGGAGGGAGGGAGGGAGGGAGGGAGGGAGGGAGGGAGGGAGGGAGGGAGGGAGGGAGGGAGGGAGGAAGGGAGGGAGGGAGGGAGGGAGGGAGGGAAGGAGGGAGGGAGGGAGGAAAGGAGGGAGGGAGGGAGGGAGGGAGGGAGGAAAGGAGGGAGGGAGGGAGGGAGGGAAGGAGGGAGGAGGGAGGGAGGGAGGGAGGGAGGGAGGGAGGGAGGGAGGGAGGGAGGGAGGGAGGGAGGGAGGGAGGGAGGGAGGGAGGGAGGGAGGGAGGAGGAAGGAGGAGGGAGGGAGGGAGGGAGGGAGGGAGGGAGGGAGGGAGGGAGGGAGGGAGGGAGGGAGGGAGGGAGGGAGGGAGGGAGGAGGGAGGGAGGGAGGAGGAGGGAGGGAGGGAGGGAGGGAGGGAGGGAGGGATGGAGGGAGGTAGGGAGGGAGGAAAGGAGGGAGGGAGGGAGGAAAGGAGGGAGGGGGGGAGGGAGGCAAGGAGGGAGGAAGGGAGGCAAGGAGGGAGGGAGGGAGGGAGGGAGGGAGGGAGGGAGGGAGGGAGGGAGGGAGGGAGGGAGGGAGGGAGGGAGGGAGGGAGGGAGGGAGGGAGGGAGGAAGGGAGGGAGGGAGGGAGGGAGGGAAGGAGGGAGGGAGGGAGGAAAGGAGGGAGGGAGGGAGGGAGGGAGGGAGGAAAGGAGGGAGGGAGGGAGGGAGGGAAGGAGGGAGGGAGGGAGGGAGGGAGGGAGGGAGGGAGGGAGGGAGGGAGGGAGGGAGGGAGGGAGGGAGGGAGGGAGGGAGGGAGGGAGGGAGGGAGGGAGGGAGGGAGGGAGGGAGGAAGGGAGGGAGGGAGGGAGGGAGGGAGGGAGGGAGGGAGGGAGGGAGGAGGGAGGGAGGGAGGGAGGGAGGGAGGGAGGGAGGGAGGGAGGGAGGGAGGGAGGGAGGGAGGAGGAGGGAGGGAGGGAGGAAGGAGGGAGGGAGGGAGGGAGGGAGGGAGGGAGGGAGGGAGGGAGGGAGGGAGGGAGGGAGGGAGGGAGGGAGGGAGGAGGGAGGGAGGGAGGGAGGGAGGGAGGGAGGGAGGGAGGGAGGGAGGGAGGGAGGGAGGGAGGGAGGGAGGGAGGGAGGGAGGGAGGGAGGGAGGGAGGGGGGAAGGGAGGAAAGAAGGAAGTGGGGAAGTGAGGAAGGGAGGGAGGGAAAGAGGAAGGGAGGGAAGGAGCGATGGAGGGAGGGAGGCAGGGATGGAGGGGGGGAGGGAGGGTGGGAGGGAGGGTGGGACGTAAGGTAGGCGGACAGACGTAAGCGTATGGATGAAGTCAAGGAGGAACACTGAACGCCAGGGTACGAAGACATCGGTGGTGCCCATATGGGGCAACATACCGCCATGTTGCATGGGCGGCATGGGTGGCATGGGTGGCATGGGTGGCATGGGCGGCATGGGCGGCATGGGCGGCATGGGCGGCATGGGCGGGCTCACAGTGAAGAGGTTGTTGAGGATGCTGTCTATCTGCACGAAGTAGGACTGTGACGGGGCAAGGAGAAGCACGTATAGAGCACAGGGGGAGAAGAAAGAGCAGTTGGAGAACGATGAAGGGGCAAGAAAGTTCATGGAGGAAAGACAACAGCACCTGCTGTTGATGATGTAGCCACACTTTAGCAGTACCACTCCATAGACACACTACACAACCAGACGGTACCACTGACAGCAGTGAGAGCAGTGAGAGAGGTAGAGCAGTGAGAGAAGAGCAGTGAGAGAAGTAAGAGCGGTGAGAGAAGTAAGAGCAGTGAGAGCAACAATGACAAGACCCGAACCTTCCCCTCTCAACTCCACCTGCACCGTCGCTCAAATCACATCAGCTCACCTCCAGCAGCTGCTCGAGCTCTTCGATGTCGTCATTGTCGGAGTGCGCACTGCTGTACGCACTCGCACGACTCATCAGCGCCGCCACGCCCCCGCCCCCCGCCCCCATGCCCATGCCGCCCCACCGCCCGCCAATGGACATCCGCGAGCCGAGCGGGGAGGAGGCGAGGTGGGGAGAGGCAAACGGCGCATGGAGGGCGGCGGGGGCGGGGAGGGAAAAGGCGAGGGAGGCGGCGCCGTGCAGCGATGGTGGCGGTGGGGGAGTGCGGGGCGGCGGCCATGCGGGTGAGGAACATCTCGGCCATGTCGTCATCGTCGTCCAGCAGCTGCTCCAACTCCTCCCTCACCTGCCAGGGCGTGCCGTGGCGTGGCGAGCACAAGGGGTGAGAGCACGCAGTGAATGGTGCACGGGTGACTGACCCCACACCACACGTGTGCAAGTCCAGACGCTCTCCTTGATGCAGCATTTTCGTTGGGTTGCACTCATTGATTTAACACGAGAAACGGGAGAAGAAAACAAACCTTCTGCACGCGAGCAATGAGTCGACTCATTCTGTTCTTCATGCTTCTCACTCGGTCCAGGTTGAGACTGCTCACCTGCCGCCCACCGCCGTGCCAATCCCAGCCATGCACACAAGCAGAAATTATAACGAATGAACTGAATGTACTAGTGCATGTCACAAGCTCCCCACGAGACCGGGCAGCAAGTTCGGTTGCATCCAGGCAATGCTCGGGTTACCTGCGGTTTGCATCAACTTGACAGGCGAGTGGAAGGAAGAGTAGGGAGAAGGCAAGGTGGGACGGATGCGGAAAGGGAAGGGGCACCGACTCGGGAGGTGAGCTCATCGAGGGCGGGGTAAGCCTCGTTCTCCAGCAGCGTGGTGTGCGAGTCCAGCGCACGGCACACCTGCTCCAGCGCCACCTCCAATGCGATGAACTCGAACGGCCGGTCTGATGCATCATGCGCAGGGGAGCGCAGCGCGTGGGGATGGCAAGAAAGACAGTGGGTGCGTTGTAATTAGAAATGGGCACAGTAACCAGCATGGTTCACCTAGAGCCATTCTTTTATTCCTAACGATTTGAGTCGACCCGGCTGGGGTTCCAGTTGAAACACGTCAAACCCACAGGGCCCACACTTATATTCACTGCGTAACAATGGCAGATTGTAAACCAGACATGGCATGGCATGGTACAGCGTGACTCACACTCCTCCATGTCCTCTTCGTCCTCCTCTTCCTCCTCATGCTGCCATCCCTTCGCCCTCCTCCCTCCTCCACCCCCCTCCCCCCTCTCTGCTTCTAGCCCCGTGCCCTTCCCCCCACCGCCTTCCTTCACGCGCAGTCGCAGCGTGAGCGGCTCACTCTCCGCCCGGGACCCGTGTGCACTGCCCATGCCCTCCCACGCATCCTCCTCATCTTCCCCCTCTTCCTCCTCCTCTTCCTCCTCATCCCCGTCGCCATCCACTGGCCCACATCTCTCACTCTCTTCGCACTCCACCATCTCAATCTCTGACACCCCACGTACTCTTCGCCTCTCATCGACTCTTCTCGCCGCATCGCTCCCATGAACAGCGTGTGCACTCTCCCTTGTCCCCTCACTCCCTTCATGGCCGTCTCTCCCCCCTCCACCCCCATGCACCTCCCTTGACTCGCCACTGTCGTGCCTCCTCGCAGAGCCATCAGTGCCACACACACCACTGCCAGCAGCAGCACCCATATGGGCAGCATGAGCAGCGGTGCCAGTGGGAGGAGGGGAAGCAGCTGACGCGCTTCTGGCAGCAGCTTCAGCTTCAGCTGCGCCCACAACAGCAGCAGCAGCAGGAGCGGTCCCTGGAGCGGCGGGGGGTGCAGCGGCGGGGGGTGCAGCGGCGGGGGGGCCAGCGGCGGGCTGCAGGTGCAGGCGGCGCAGCAGCTCGTCCACAAAACGCTGCACGCCCTCGTGAGCCGGGTTGCGCAGCAGCACCTGCAGGGGGGGGGGGGGATGGGGGGCGGAGGGGGTGAAAGGGTTATGCTGGTGTCGTTGTTGTCGCAGTGCGCACAGGGAGGGCGGCCGGGAGGCCAGACCAGGGGAGGGGAGAGCAGAGAGGCATGAAAGGCATGTAGAGGGAGAGGTGCGCTTCATGGTCATTTGAGTTGCCAATAACGGTTCCAAATCAGATCCAAGCAGTGACTGGTGCGGACGGGACAGGAAAGCTCATGAGCATGGAGTGCATATGCGATTGGAAATGGAAGAGCAGCAGCAGCAGCAAATGCATGCATGGCAGGTGGGTGTCGGACGGCAGGTGGGCGTGGGACGGCAGGTGGGCGTGGGACGGCAGGTGGGCGTGGGACGGCAGGTGGGCGTGGGAGGGCATCATGGCATGGGTTGGAGGGAGCATGGCGCCAAGTGCGCAATGAAGGGCAGAAAGGCACCTCTTCAGCCGTGATGATGGCCTTGAGGTGCTGCCATGCCGCCACCACCCCGGGCAGATGAGTGGCGGGGGAAGGCTCCACACACGATGACACAAGCACACATGCGCACGTGGAAGGCAAGAAGGAGCAACAGGGATGATGATGTGAGAGCAGAAGCAAAAGGGAATGCAGCCTGTGCCTCGCACTCATGCGGACAGGCCTGCTGCCAACTCGACATGAGCAATAAAACAGACTCTGCATTTTGTGGGCCTCCAATTCGAGTCAAGCAGACAGTGTTGAACACTCAAGTCCGCCCTGCTGCCAGGGTTGCCAGCATGTTCCATGGTCTTTGGCCGTGCGACCTGGTGCCATCACTCGCTTCACCACGCAGAATCCAAAGCTCGCTCAGGAACCTCACTTACAGCCATCGGCGCTCATCTCACACCTCCCCTCTCTATCCACAAGCATGGCAGCACAAGGCAGGGCAGGGCAAGGCAGGGCGCAGGGCGGGGCGGGGCGGGGCAGGGCAGGGCAGGGCAGGGCAGGGCAGGGCAGGGCAGGGCAGGGCAGGGCACCTCGAGGTTGAGCACGGTGGCTTGCTCACCTCGAGGTTGAGCACGATGGCTTGCTCACCTCGAGGTTGAGCACGATGGCTTGCTCACCTCGAGGTTGAGCACGGTGGCTTGCTCACCTCGAGGTTGAGCACAATGGCTTGCTCACCTCGAGGTTGAGCACGATGGCGCGCTCACGGCCGAGGATGGTGGAGGGGTAGGAGAGCAGCGGGTCGAGGATGCGCAGGTCGCGCGCATGCAGCCCCGTGCGCTGCATCACCGCTGCCCGGTCCAGCTCCTCCTCGCCCTCCCGCCCCTCCACGTCCACCCACCGCCACCGCACCTGACGCGACCGTGGCACCATCCATGCCCATGCCCATGCCCATGCCCATATGGACGTGACACCGTGCAGTCATGCATTGACGTGCACCCATGCATCCGCCATGCACCCATGCATCGACCCCGGGCCATGTGGAGGCGAGTGGTAACAAGAAAGGTTGTGGTCGAGGAGGCGGGAGGGGGATGGGGGGGGGGATGAGGAGTGGAGGAGGAACTGGAAAGGGACGGGGAAAGGGAAGGGGGGGACGACGAAGGGCGAAGTGCAGGCAGTGGCAGTAGACAGATCAAGCAAGGGATGATATGCGGCACTGAAAAAGGAGACGAGCGAACCAACAAATATCGAAGTGCACTCACCATCACCCACCACAACCACCCACCACAACCACCCACCACAACCACCCACCACAACCACCCACCTCAACCACCCACCACAACCACCCACCACAACCACCCACCACAACCACCCACCACAACCACCCACCACAACCACCCACCACAACCACCAGTCAGTGAGCAAGGATGAAAGAGGGAACAATGAATGGGCATCAAGACAAGCACACCACTAAACGCGGCCGTCCTCCACCCACCTTCGTCAGCCCGCCTGCTTTCTTCTCCTGCAGTGCTGACGTGGCAGCAGCTGCTGCCGCCACGTGTTGCTCATTGACAGGATCCAGACGAGCCCTGTGCTTGACGTTCTTCTGCACGCAGTGGGCGGATGGAGGGGCGCAAGCAGGGAGTACAAAGCAAGGAAGTCAGCGCACACAGTGGCATGCCCGGGGCGAGGAGAGTGCAGGTGCGCGTGAGATGGCACGGCTGCGCTGCTCTCATCTCTTTGCAATGGCTGTGAGGTGGGGCAACGGGCATGAGGTGGGGCAACGGGCATGAAGTGGGTTGGGCGTCATGGCATGAGGTGGGTTGGGCGTCATGGCATGAGGTGGGTTGGGCGTCATGGCATGAGGTGGGTTGGGCGTCATGGCATGAGGTGGGTTGAGCGTCATGGCATGAGGTGGGTTGGGCGTCACGGCATGAGGTGGGTTGAGCGTCATGGCATGAGGTGGGTTGGGCGTCATGTCATGGCATGAGGTGGGTTGAGCGTCATGGCATGACGTGGGTTGGGCGTCATGGCATGGGGTGGGTTGGGCGTCATGGCATGAGGTGGGTTGGGCGTCATGGCATGAGGTGGGTTGAGCGTCATGGCATGAGGTGGGTTGGGCGTCATGGCATGAGGTGGGTTGGGCGTCATGGCATGAGGTGGGTTGGGCGTCATGGCATAAGGTGGGTTGGGCGCCATGGCATGAGGTGGGTTGGGCGTCATGGCATGAGGTGGGTTGAGCGTCATGGCATGAGGTGGGTTGAGCGTCATGGCATGAGGTGGGTTGGGCGTCATGGCATGAGGTGGGTTGGGCGTCATGGCATGAGGTGGGTTGGGCGCCATGGCATGAGGTAGGTTGAGCGTCATGGCATGCGGTGGGTTGAGCGTCATGGCATGAGGTGGGTTGAGCGTCATGGCACGAGGTGGGTTGGGCGTCATGGCATGAGGTGGGTTGGGCGTCATGGCATGAGGTGGGTTGGGCGTCATGGCATGAGGTGGGTTGGGCGTCATGGCATGAGGTGGGTTGGGCGTCATGGCATGAGGTGGGTTGGGCGTCATGGCATGAGGTGGGTTGGGCGTCATGGCATCAGGTGGGTTGGGCGTCATGGCATGAGGTGGGTTGGGCGTCATGGCATCAGGTGGGTTGGGCGTCATGGCATGAGGTGGGTTGGGCGTCATGGCATGAGGTGGGTTGGGCGTCATGGCATCAGGTGGGTTGGGGGTCATGGCATCAGGTGGGTTGGGCGTCATGGCATGAGGTGGGTTGGGCGTCATGGCATGAGGTGGGTTGGGCGTCATGGTATCAGGTGGGTTGGGCGTCATGTCATCAGGTGGGTTGGGCGTCATGGCATCAGGTGGGTTGGGCGTCATGGCATAAGTCGAAGCGATAGCATCGCCGGGGGCATCTGGTGGCTGCTAGAACGAGCCCGCCGTTCACGCGCATAAGGCGCTAACAGCTTCTGCCGATTGACGCGGCGGTGGGAGGAGGCGATCGAGCAGCGGCGCGGCTGACCTGGTAAGCCGCGAACTCCGCGGAGGCTGGCTGCCGCTTCATGCTCGCAAGTTTGTCGCCTGCCGCCGCTACGCCCTCGCTGCCGCTGCCACCGCAGGCGGCGAGGCTAGCCAAGCCCTCGCTGCCGCACGTCCGAACCCTGATGGCTCGCTTCCTAAGCCGGCAACAGGCGCGCGCCGCACGTATAATAAGCGAGTGACGGCCCTAAGGAATATGACTTAAAAAAACTGCGATTAGTGTGTCCATGATCTAATGGCGTTGGACTCGTTATGGACGGCTTCGCTGCCATGTAATATTTACTTGAAATTTTGAATATCACTTCGGATATGGGCAATCACTCTTTCTTGAGACTGTTTTTCTTTGGAAGAGGGGCTGCGAATAAGGTTGGTTTCCTTACAAACAGAAAGATTTATATTCTGAAACCTTGTATTAGCCAGTGCGGCCTGCACTTTCGAACTCGCGTCACTCTCACAAATAACGGCATGTGGGAAGAGATGTAGTGAGAGATCAATCCTGTTACAACTATAGAGCCCTATTATACAACCACAGGATTGATCAACGAGGTGTAGCAGCGACATGTTTCTGATTGGTGTGGGTGGGACTTTATAACTGGGAAGTTGAATGTTCCGTAACGATTATTGCTATACTATTGTCAAATGTTGTAGCCTTTAGTGATGCGTGTCATATGGGGTACAGCAGTTAGGGTTAGGTTTATGTACCCCAACCCACAATAGTCAATCATCATTCGGTTTCTGACATGGTATCACACAGGATCCCATTCCTCCCCCTTACGCCCATAGCGCCCTACCGTCGAGCCCGTCCCATACCTTAGCGCTCGTTGCGTCCGTACTATCCCCTAGCGCTTGTCGTGTCAGAATGTTATCTTATGCTCTAGCCTGTAGTGGGGTGCTCTATAGCGAGTACAACCCTTCTAGGGTTTGCTATTTGTATCCTCATTCCTGCTAGTTCAACCCCTCTTCTTTCTTCTAACTTTCTCATGCTATCAGAGCAGGTCGATCCCCTTGGATCGATCCTGTGGGTGGGTTACCACCTCCTTGCTTCCGCTGCAACTACCTTTCACTACTCGCTGAGCCGCACGCCCCCTGGCGTGCGGCACTTTTTCTTCCCGCCGTGCGCCCCGAGGCGCGCGGCGGTTTTCTGCCCGCCGTGCGCCCCGAGGCGCGCGGCGGTTTTCTGCCCGCCGTGCGCCCCGAGGCGCGCGGCGGTTCTCTGCCCGCTGTGCGCCCCGAGGCGCGCGGCGGGCTTCTGCCCCGTCGTTCGCTGCGTCGCCCTCTGGAGGCGCCGCGATGGGCGACGGGGACCCGTCGCGGCGCGCCGAGGGCACGCGCCTCGGCCCCGTCGCCCTACCTGCGCCCCGGCCCCGGCCCCGGCCCCGACGCTCTACTTTCGCCCCGGCCCCATCGCCCCGCCTGCGGCCCCTTTTCCCGTCGCCTGTCGAGGCGACCCTCGGGGGCACCTGGGGGAGGGGGGCGAGCGCCGCCATCCCACCCTGCCTACCCGCCATCCCACCCTGGCTGTATTAGGGTTTGGGGGTGGCAAGTAGGGGGTGGCGAGTATGGGGGTGGCACTTATTCATTCCTCCCTTTGCTCCTCCTCCTCCTTCGTCTTACACTGCTGCAGCTGTGGCTGAGGGGGGTGGATGTGTGGGAGACTGGGGTTTAGGGTTTAAGGGGGGTGCGTGGGAGTGGAGCTAGCGGTGTAGCAGCGGGTGTGTGCCAGGGGGAGTGGGATAGTTTGGGGAAGCTGAATGGAGGTTTCCGTCGTGTCGCCAGCAGCACCTGTATTCCGGGGACTTCGTCCGGTAGCCCAGTCGTAGCCAGCTGTGCCAGCCGCCCGTGGGTCCGTTGCTCGTCTGCCGCTACTTTAGCCGCGGGGCCTATTACTCCTGTATTCCGGGGACTTCGTCCGGTAGCCGCTGTGCCAGTCTGCCTCCTGTTGCCCGTGTGTCAGCAGCTTCAGTCGTCGCCTCCTATCTCCTCTCCTCTCACTCTCTCTCTCCTCCTCCTCGCTTGCCCGTTGTGACTACCACTAGCTTTGCTTATAATTGTGAACTCTAAACTATTGCTTCTTGAACTTGTGCTCAGAATGTGTGGTGACATTGTGATCCACCCTGAGCTTGTACTGCTTTGCTTGCTCTGCTGATTACACCCCACTTTGGCTATGGGGGTGTGTCAGAATGTTATCTTATGCTCCAGCCTGTAGTGGGGTGCTCTATAGCAAGTACAACCCTTCTAGGGTTTGCTATTTGTATCCTCATTCCTGCTAGTTCAACCCCTCTTCTTTCTTCTAAATTTCTCATGTCGGGCCAGTCCGTCTCATTCCCTAGCGCCCATCGCGCCTGCCAGTCGCGTCGCGCTCGTCTATCGCGTCGCGTCGCGCCTGTGAGAAGAATTGAACGAGAATGAAATGACTATGAACGAAGTAAGTACAAATAGGAAACCCTGATTGTGTTGTACCCCTTATGAGATACCCCACTATAGCCTACAGAAACAAGTAAGCTATATGTTCTGACACACCCCCATAGGCAAAGTGGGGGAGAACAAGGGGTCACAAGACCAGTCAAGCAAAGCAAAGCAAAGCTCAGGGTGGATCACAAAGTCACCACGCATTCCGAGCACAAGTTCAAAGGCCAGAAGGCCAGTTCACATGCAAGATCATATATAGAGATATACAAGAGGCAAACAAGCAAGAACAAGAGTATATATAGGCGAAGGTACAAGCAAGATCAAGAGGAGAGCAAGTGAGGCAAGACAGGCACAAGACCCAACTGCGTGCAACAACGCTGATGATCACAAGGCGCAAGTGCCTTGGTGAAGACATCAGCAGTGTTGGCCTCAGAGGCCACGTACGCAAGTCGCAACTGTCCACGCTGCTGTAGCTCACGAGCAAGAAAGTAGCGGAGAGCAATGTGCTTCGTTCTGTGCTCCAGTCGCTGCTCTCGACACAAGGCCAGCATGGCCTTGTTGTCTACGTACAGGACTGGAGGAGAACGAGGCTGCTCTCCAAGGTCGGTCAGCAGGTAGGTGAGCCAACGTAACTCCTGCGCAGCCATAGCCCCAGCGTAGATCTCAGCCTCACAACTGGAGCCGAGAACAGAAGACGAGCGGGTAGCCCGCCACGAAACAGAGCCGGAACCAAGGCTGAAGGTGTAACCCTGTGACGACCGCTGCGTAGCCTGGTCGTCAGCCCAAGAAGCGTCTGCGTGCCCAGTGAGGACCACTGGACTGCGCCCTCCAAGCACTAGCCCCATGCCCGACGTGCTGCACAAGTAGCGCAACACCCTCTTCGCTGCAGCCATGTGCTCTGGTCGGTGTCTCCCAGGAGCAACATAACGTGCGAGAATGCAAGGTCAGGACGTGTGCAGGTCATCAGGTACATGAGGCAGCCAACAAGCTCTGCAAACGGGCCACTCGACTCTACGGACTCATCCGAAGGCAGAGCTGAGAGTGAGTGGCGAGTAGGCAGAGGAGTGGCCTGAGGCGAGGAGTACGTGAAGCCGAAGCGCTGAAGGACCTGCTGCACCATGTGTGACTGAGTCAGGGTAATGGTGCGGCGCGCTCTGTCCTGGGTGATCTGCAAGCCAAGGTAGCTACGCAGTTCACCCAGGTCAGTGCACGTGTGTCTCTTCTGCAGCTCGGACTTCACGTAGGCGAGTCCAGCAGTGTCAGCTGTGGCAAAGACCAAGTCGTCGACGTACACGAGGATGTAGAACGGCGGCACAGAGGTGTCGGTGCGCAGAAACAGCGACGGGTCGGCAGTAGACGGAGCAAACCCAAGTGCCGCGAGCGTAGTCCTCAGTGTGTCGTGCCACTCATGCGGTGCCTGGCGGAGACCGTAGACTGGCCGTCGGAGGCTCCACTGGGTGCCAGGAGGGAAAGACCCAGTGAAGCCAGGTGGGCGACGTAGCTAGATCTCCTCGTGCAGACTGCCCTGCAAGAAAGCTGTGCTGAAGTCGAGAGAGTGCAGCTCGTAGTCACGGTGAGCAGCAACGTGCAGCAGAACCCGAAGAGTAGTCATCTTCGGGGTGGGGGAGAAGGTCTGAAAGTAGTCAACCCCCTGCCGCTGACTGAAGCCACGAGCCACGTAACGCGCCTTGAAGACAGGCGGTGAACCCGGCGGCCGCTTCACCCTGAAAATCCACATGCCACTGACGATGTTCGCCCCAGGAGGGGGAACAGCGTCGACGTAGGTGCCTGTGGACTTCCAGGAAGCCATCTTTGCATCCATAGCTGCCTGCCACTGAGAGGAGTAGGGACCCTCTATCGCCTCCGCGTAAGAGCGCGGAGTCGGGATGTCTGGTGCATCCGGGTCTCCCTCAGGGGCTAGCAGTACAGACGCGAGATGAGGTGAAGCGGCTGCCAGACACTGGAACTCCTCCTGCCTGTCCTCAAGGACGTCCGTGCCGAGGGCACACTCACCCTCGACGGACGGAGGACAGGCAGACTCAGACTGAGCGACAAGACTGGCAGCGTAGTCTAGACGACAGCGTGCAGCAAAGTCGACAAGCTCAGTGACAAGGGCAGAAGCAGCAGACGACTCGAAGGAAGGGTCAGTGACAGCAGTAGCAAGAAGACGCGTGACAGTAGGACTGGCAGCACGAAGAGAGTCCGACGCCGGGTCGGCAAGAGTTGGAAGAGAGGAAGCAGGAGGAGAAGGCAAAGGGGCACGTAGAGGAGCAGTAGACGGACGCAGTGACATCCGGTGCGTGCCAGGGACAGGAGGAGGACGCTGACGCGACCCGCGACCACTAGCGCGCTCAGTACGAACAGGCGACGCAGGACGAGACGCAGGCTCACGACGCTCAGTAAGACCTCCAGTCGGACCAGCGTAGGGAGAA